CGTCCTCAGCCGCCAGCCCGGCTGGTGTGGGGAGAGTTGGCGGTGGCCGTGGTGACCGCCCCGGGCCTGTGCTCTGAGCGGTGGCGAGGCACACAGTGGGACGAGTGGCAGCACACAGTGGGACGAGGTGGTCTGTGCAGTCTTCGTCTCACGTGCATTCTCAGGCAGAAGCAGGCGGTTTTGGGGGTGTCCCTGTCATCTGCGGTTTCCTGCCGTTGGGATATTTGGGTGGGCTTCCTCGCTTTTCCCTTGTCGTGGGCTACTGAACTTGAAAGGTTGGGGATGGGTGTCCTTAGTAAGAAAGGGGGACATTGCCTCGGAGGAGGGAATGAGCGGGGAAGAGGATGGAAAACAGCCTCTGTTGAAGCACGTGTGGCCACAGGTATGTTCGTTCGTTGGGCTTTTCCGTGGTGTGCCCTCCCTGCCTCTCATCTCTGTTTTTTTCTTGATTTCTCGTGGCGGAAGGAGGATACAGAGTTACAGTGGACAGGCGGAAGACTGTGACCGAACAGTAGTTTGGACATACCGTGTAAAGGACTAATAGCTTGCACACCATTGAGCTCTCAGAATACACAGCTGCTTAGGAATGGATGTTTCATAGTCGTGACCTTGAGTATATTCAGAAAGCAACACTTAGTTTGTTCTGCCTAACGGAAGAGGGAAGAAAATGTTTTTAAAAAAACCACCGCCAGAGTAGTGGTAGTTAAAGGGATTTGATTCCTTTTTGATAACAACTCTATTGTGATATAGTTCATCTACCCTAAAATTCACCTTTTTAAAATATGTAATTCAGTGGTTTTTAATATATTTATACAGTTGTCCAGCTCCTCCACCACCACTTGATTCCAGAACATTTTCGCTTCCAGAAGAAACCTCTACCCATCGGTAGCCTCCCTCCCGTCCTCCCTCCCCGCAACTCGAGGCAGACAGTCATCTGTCCGTCTCCATGGATTTGCCTCTCCTGGACTTTTGATATAAATGGAATCCTATAATATGTGGTCTTTGCGACCGGCTCCTTTCCCTTCGCATAATGTTTTCAAGGGTCATCCGTGTTGTAGCCTGTAGCAGAGTCTCATTCCTTTTACGATGGGATGATCCTCTGCTGTATAGATAGACCACGTTTTATTTATTCACCAGTTGTTGGACATTCTGGGTTGTTCCACTTTTTGGCTATGAATAATGCTGCTATGAACATGGCACACAGGTTTTTGTGCGGACGTATGATTTTAGTTTTCTTAGGTATATACCCAAGAGTGGCATTGTTGGGTCGCATGGTAACTCTGTATTTGAGGAACTGCCAGTCCGTCTTCTGAAGTGGCTGCATCAGAACGCGCTCCTGCCAGCAATGGTTCTGGTTTCTCTACAGCTTTGCTAATGATGGTTGGTATCTGTCTTTTTGATTATAGCCATTCTTGTGGATGTAAGTGGTATCTTATTGTGGTTTTGATTTGCATTTCCCTAATGACTAATGACGTTGAGCATCTCTTCATGTGCTTATTGTCCATTTGTGTCTGCTTTGGAGAAATGTCTGTTCAGGTCCTCTGCCCATTTTTGAGTTGAGTCATTTGTTTTTTGTTGTTAAGCTGTAGGAGTTTTTTTAATGTATTCTGGATATCAATCCTTTATCAGAGGCATGATTTGCACATATTTTCTCCCATTCTGTGGATCGTCTTTTTGCTTTCTTGATGGTGTCTTTTGAAGCACAGAAGTTTTAAATTTCAACTAAGTCCAGTTTACCTGTTTGTTCTTTCGTTGCTCATACTTTTGGTGTCATAATTAAACCATTGCCTACTCCAAGGTCACGAGGATTTACACGTATATTTTCTTGTAAGAAGAGTTCTGTAGTTTTAGCTCTTACATTTAGGTCTCTGGTTTATTTTGAGTAAATTTTTTTTGTATGTCGTGAGGTAGGTAGGCTTCCAGCGTCATTCTTTTGCATGTGGCTGTCCAGTGCCATTTGTCGAAAAGACCTTTCTTTCCCTGCTGAAGTCTCTTGGTGCCCTTGCCAAAAATCAATTGACCATGAATGTGTGGGTTTAATTTTGGAGTCTCGATTCTAATCCATTGATCTACATGTCCCTCCTTATGCTAGTACCACGCTGTCTTGGTTACTGTAGCTTCGTGGTAAGTTTTGAAATCGGGAAGTGTCTGTTGTCCAACTCTGTTCTTCTTTTTCAAGATCGTTTTGGCTCTTTTCGGTCCTTTGAATTTCCACGTGAATATTAGGATCAGCTTGTCAATTTCTACAAAAAAGGCAGTTTCGATATTGATAGAGATTATATTAAATCCGTGGATCTATTTGGGGTTTTTTAATCCTTTTTATGGCTCTGCTATTTGGGAACTACTGGCTAACTCAAGCACCCAAGCGTCTTGCCTTAAAAAAATTGTTTTTTAATTTATTACTACAATAGGCTGCCTTGGCGAAACAGCATAATTCACTGTTAGGCTGGAATTGGACTTTTCAGGTTCCAGGAGAGCAAATAGCTAACTCATGCAGCCTGTAGGTTGGCTTTTTGTGGTATGTGTTCTTTTGATGTAAAAGTTTGCCGATGTCTTGAATATTTAGAAAAAATGTGGTATTCTGGTTAACGCTCGTTCTGATTAATAGAGAATTAGCAGACTCTGTATATGAACATTTATCAAAGACTTAGAATATGTTACAATAAAGTTTACATTAAATTTTTATGATGATAATAATTATTATTGGAGGTATCAGAAGATATTTTAGGAACTGTAGTCCTCCGGGGGCCGCGTGAATATCAGTTATTGTTGCATTCCTAAGGCAGTTCATTTACTCAGCAAATGATGATACCGTGCCAGGCACAGAGGAGGCATGGCCCCTGCCCTCAAGGAGCTAACGGGGAGACTGATGTTAGTCAAGGTGCCGTGTGAAATTCCAGCTGATGCAGTGCCACGAAGAGATTTATGCTCTGAAGGGAAAGGCAGTGTATCACGAAGGGGTTCGATGAATCTGAGAGGCTGGGAGAGGCTTCTTAAACTGAGCTCTGAAGGAAAGTGAGAATTAGCTGAGGGAAAAATAAGAGAAAGAGGCTGCAGATAATTGGATGAGCTGGTCAGCGAGATGTAGGGTTATTCTGATTATATTTTGGCTGTTTATAGCTTTTGAGAAAAAGCATCTGAAGAATCGACTCCGGTCCTGACTGTGCCCTTTATATGCCTATGACTTTAAACAAGTAACTTAACTTTTCTGAACTTATTTACTTGAGATAAATAAAAAATATATGAAAACATAGACATCTAGGCTTTTGATTGATCCTGTTATGATGCAAAAATAATAATTTTTTGGTGACCTTCACGATCGGTTCCTTAGGAATGCAATACTGGTAAATAGAAAATTTTCTGAGCATTTTTTTCCTAGTCTTTGAGATTAAAATTCACTTCGGTTCCTCCACACTCCAGAAGCCTCCAGTCTGCAGGGAGCAGATGCGGATGTGACTGGTCCAAGGCTGGTCGTCGTGCGCGCTGTGATCAGGCACTGGGAAGAGTGGGAAGACTTTTCCAGGCGGGTGGAATTTGACCTGGTATCACTGGCAGGCAGACATGGTGGAGGAGAGGAAGCGGAGCCAAGGCACAGAGCCGGGGGAGTGCGGGGTGGCTGGGGTTCCGGGCGCATGTGCATCGGCGAGCCCGGAACATAGGTATGGGTCAGGTGGCAGGGCTTGGGAAGTCCGACTGGGGGTTTAATTTTTTTATGTAAGCTGAGGAGTGGGACGGATTGGGCGAAAGCTCGTCTCCCATTAAGGTGCCGACCCGGGCCACGCGCGCCCCTGTCCGGCTTCCTCTCCGCTCACCGGTCACGTCCGGTTCTTCTAGATTCCGATCGTGCCAGGGCGCTGTGCTCGTCGTCGGCCTCGCACGTCGCCCTCACTCTGACTTAGAAGGCGCAGCTTTCTCCAGAGCGCGTGCAGACACGCTCACGTGCGCTTGGCTTCGCCAGCTCTCCTTGTCCGCTTCAGTGAGTCTCGTTCGAAAAGCTTTCTTGACCTTGGCCTTCTTCTCAGATAGGGTTGTGTGCCCTTCCTGTGTGTGCCCGTAGCACATTGAGTTTGTGTGAGAATAGCTTGTTCACTTCTTTCTTCCTCAAGTAGATGTTCTTCTTCAGAGGTCAGAGACTTCAGTACCTGGCACCTAGGATGCGCTCAGAAACGTTTGTTGGTCGAATGAATGAATGAGCAAAGAGGAAGGACCGGAGTTCAGAAAATAGCTCCTGGCAAGAATATCTGTAGCAATGGGTTAGAGAAAGGAGCTAGTGTGACTGGGTCGTGTGTGTGTGTGTGCGCGCGCGCGCGCATTGTGTGTGCGAGAGAGAGAGAGATACAGTCAAAGATTTGTGACTGATAGACTGTAGGCCTTGAGGGATGAGAAGAGTCGAAGATGAGTCCTAGCTTTTGAACCTCCAAAGCTGGAGTGAGGTAAGGCCATTAACTGAGACAGGGAGAATGGGAGGGAAGTGTTTTGGGGACTCTGGATGCAAACGTTTGGTTCTAATTGGACAATTAAAGTATTTATCGGGTCGATGTGATTGGGGTGGCCTTACCATATCCGTATGCAATAGGACTTTGGAAATGTACTGGGTCGTGTGTGTGTGTGTGTGTGTGTGTGTGTGTGTCCGCGCGCGCGCGCACACGTGCGCATTGTGTGTGTGTGAGAGAGAGAGAGATATAGTCACAGGTTTGTGACTGATACACTGTAGGCCTTGAGGGATGAGAAGAGTTGAAGATGAGTCCTAGCTTTTGAACCTCCAAAGCTGGAGTGAGGTAAGGCCATTAACTGAGACAGGGAGAATGGGAGGGAAGTGTTTTGGGGACTCTGGATGCAAACGTTTGGTTCTAATTGGACAATTAAAGTATTTATCGGGTCGATGTGATTGGGGTGGCCTTACCATATCCGTATGCAATAGGACTTTGGAAATGTGGGCCAAAGGTTAGGGAGTTAGTCGTTCCTATCACCTGTGGTTTTTTTTTTTTTTTTCCAGAGGGCAAAGAAGCCCTGGTGATGGTCCCCAGAGGTCAGCCGCCTCAGCATGGGGCAGGGTGGAGAAGGGCGGTGAGTAGATTTGAGGGGCAGATGGGGACACGCTGGCACAGCCTGTTGGGGAGTATGTAAGCTTCATGCAGGTAGGGACCCTGTTTGCTCACGGCTGCATCTCTGCCTGGAGTAGTGCCTGGTGGTTAAAAGAATGAATGAATCAGTTCAAAAGAATCAGGAGTGGAAGTGACAGTAGCGAGTGAAATTGTTTGGGGAGAAGACAAGGCGCTTGAGGACAGAAATGTGGCGACTGCTTCACTAGTGTCACCACAGCGGGGAGCACCAGTGGGGACTGAGAAAGAACGGTCAGAGAGGTAACAACGAAAACATGAAGTCAGGGATGCTAAGCGCGAGGGCTGCGCGGAGGTCATCAGCTCTGACGCCGCGGAGTTTGTGTAGAATCAAGACGAAGGTACTGATTTTGCCAGTTGGGTAGTGAGTTGGGGGAGTGAGGAGGAGGTAGCAAGAGGACACGCGGTTCAAGGATTTGGGACATGCGGAGTGCGGGTGCGAACGGCGGAAATGGTAGAGCAAGTCCGAGCTGAGGAAAGGAGCCCTGGAGCCCGGGGGACTGCGGGTGTATTAGTTTCTGGTCGCTGCTGTGATAAGTTACCACGCACCCCATGGCGAGCGCGGAACTCATCGCCTGGCCTGCGGGCAGGAGCTCAGGCGGGGCTGGGCCCGCTGCTTCAGGCTGCACAGGCCCGCGGTCGAGGTGCTGGTGGGGCCGGAGCTTCATTCGAAGGCTCAGCTGGGGAAGGATGCTCGGCCAAGTTCACACAGTTTGAAGGATTCCTTCTTGTGGGCTGTTGGCCAGAGGCCACCCTCAGTTCCTTGCCATGTGGGGCTCTGCAGCATGGCAGCTTGCTTCCTTAGAGCCAGTAAGGGAGAGAGTCAGCTGGAAGACAGAAGGTATGATCTTTGTCACCTAATCACGAAGTGACGTCTCTTCACCTGTGCTACTTTCTGTTGTTGGAAGCAAGTCATTAGGTCTGACACACACTCAAAGGGAGGGGGGTCACACAGAGCTGAGTGTTAACAAGAGCTGGGGGTCACAGGTGGCCTGCCATGAAGTTTGTCTACCATAGCGGGGAGGGAGGATGGCGCTAGGAGACATTAGGACAGTTCTTCAGAAAGAGGCCCTCTAGGGTGAGATGGCAGGTTGAGAACTTAGAGAGTGAAGTTTTGGGGGTACAGTCCCGGTGGAGGTTCAGATAGAGCGCCGAGGTGTTCGGGACCCTTCCCTGCCCTCCGCACCCCCTCACAGGGGTAGGTCCTCTCCTGTGAGACAAGTCCGCAGACCGTGTGATAATTGCCATCGATGACCCCTTCTGCCTTGCTAAAGCTCGATTATTCACTGGCAGCTTCCTGGCCAGTGAGGTGTCTGTGCCGCGTGCCTTATGATGATGTTGAGGATCAAACAGGCGGTTCATGGCAGCGTTTTGTAGGGCGTGAAGGGACATGCAGGCTAACGGTATTCACGGGACTGCTTTTCCCACGGACTTAGATGTACATTTTCCTAGTACTTGGGTTCGTTACGTCTCACGTAAATTATTGAACTGGGCTTTATTTAATACTGTGATATTTTTAGGGTCTTTTGAGTAGAGTGTTTGCTTTTGTGATAAAGGACCCCAAAGTGATGTCCCTTTCAAGTCTTTGTATCTAGTTTTTTTTTTTTTTAATCTGTCCTTATTGTTCCTTGTCACTCTTTGGCTTCTGTCTGTCAATTTCTCACTATCCTTCCCCTCTTACTTGTTGCTTCTGATCGTCCCTGGGCTTGGCAGCCTGGTAATTAAGCTTATTAGATCTGTGAGTAGTTTGGTAGTAATCAAAGCAGGACTACGGCCCGGAGCGCCCGGCTCACAGTGACGTGCGTGAGCTTCCGTGGGGAGACTGTAAAAACCTCTTTCGGCCTCACAGTGGTCTTGGCTGCCTTCCTGGTTCTGGCTGCATGTGGCTTCGGCGAGGTTCCCGCAGAGCCGAGTTCCATGGGTCGGGTGTGGCTGCCATCTTCCCGGCACGTGCCTCATTGCTCCATTACGAGAAACGTCGTTCTCTCCTTTCGTTTTGATGAGGTTTGAGTTTTTTGGGCAGGGATAGGTGAGGGGTGGTCTGCGGTTCATGTCCTTGCGGAACCAGGAGTGTGCGGGGAGCCCCTGGTTCTTGCTCTGCTCCCTCCCCGCGCTCTCGGCCTGTGTCTGTGCCCGTGCCCTGCTGTCCCCTTCCGCGGGAAGGCATGCTGTCCGCTCCGCCACCCGTGGGGACCGCAATAAGATTCTATACACATGAAAATGCTTGTTATACGTGTACTATCAGATAGAATGCCTGCTGTGTTGGGTTGATTTTGTTGATATTTTACGGTGCTTTGTCTTTGAGGAGTTTAAAAATTGTTATCATTAGTACTAGTAATGGTTAGTGCTGCTAAAACAATGTAATTTTAAACTCTCTTTAGTTTTTTTCCAAATATGTTCTCCTGGAATCTCTTCATGCAAATGTAGACATTTAATACAGGTTCTCTCATTATTTTCAGAATATTGAGTACACTGGCTTCCTAGCCAAATTAAATTTATGAAAATTCTGATAATACTGTGATTCATATCAAGAAAGAATACATTTTTTCATTCTCAAATAACTTAAATACGCTTTACATGAATCTGGTAATAGTGAATCAATTAATGTGATTTCTCAGGTCGTAAATCAGGCTTGATATGTTACAGTATTAGTGTAAGCTTCTTAGGACTTCGGCTGTTTTGTGGTCTGTTTTAGCTCCTTGTTTGCTTTTGAACTCAATTCTAGGTGTTGAACTCAATTTGAGAGCCTAAAATGGTTTGTGCCCCAGTTACCTCGAGGCCACCGCCTCACTTTCTTACTGAGCCTGCCTTAGTAGTGGGAAGCCAGCCACCTGTCAGACGGCCTCCTTGTGACTGGGGCACGCGCTTTAATTTTGTCTCTGTCCCGTAGGAGTGTTGCCAGCGTTATTATAGTAGCACTTGCTTATATTTTAAACTTCTTGAAAAGAGGTAATATGTGAGCAGAAAATATTTTTGTGCTGTACCACGTAATTTTTCCCCTACTAACCTTTTGCGGTCTAGAAAAAGGATAAAGTTGCCTGCGTTTAGGGTACTGGTTGGTTTCCCAGCTTCAGAGGTCATTGGCCCTATTTCATAGAGGTCTCCAGGGCACGGCCCTCGTCCGGCCCTGTGCTCCTTTTTGCCTGGCAGGCCTGAGCTCCAGCCAGAAATGTTAGTGTTGGTTCTGTGGTGTCTGTGAACACTGGTGAGTGTTTTTACCCGCTTAGTTCTTAGTGGGTCTAGAGTAGTTTTTGTCTTATTGCTTGGTTGTTCAGGGAACAGAGGATGGGTGGCGACTCGGGGTGGCCTTAGGAGATGGAGAGAGGTCCTTAAAATCACTGATGGCTCTCAGTAAATCTCAGCATCAGCAGGGTGAGAGATGGGCCCACTCTTTTTCCTTTCTGTGAACGTTTGTGTAATTCACCCATGAATTAAAAAAAAATATTTGAGCTTCTATTATAAGCCAGCCATTAAGTACTAGAGACACTGAGATGAAAAGCCCGATATCCCTTTAAGGATGCCCTTGTTCGTTAGAGTCTCATTTTGAATATGTTAGAAAAATATTTATCGGAGAAGAAAAGCTACTAGATTAGGTTAAGATGCCAAATGGCTTGAGGGATTAAAGGTGGAGTTGTAGGTTAACAGAGGACAATTCTGAAAGGAATGACTTCTCTAATTAGAAAAAAACCAATCACAAATGGCACTGTGGCAGAAACTGCTAGCTGATCACGAAACCATCTCCTCTTCCCGGGCACGTAGCCAGACTGCATTTCCCAGCCACCCTTGCAATTAGGTGTGGCTTCGTGGCCAAATTCTAGCCAATAGAACAGGAGCAGAGAAGTGTGCCACTTGCAGGCCCGGCCCACGAAACCCTCCAGGCACCATTATCTGTGCCCTTCCCCTCTGCTGGCTGATGCGGAAGAGCCCAGTGACCTAGGAAAGGCCCCTGCCACGGGATGGAGGGGAGCAGGGGAGCCAGCGCGGCTGCTTGGAGGAGCGCTGTCTCCTGACCAGACACACCTGTTTGGAACTTTGCACGAACAAGAAGTGAATGCTTAGAGTATTTGAGCCAGGATACAGTTCATTCTGAGTGAGCCTGCCTAGCTAATCTAGGAGTGATGCCTGGAATGCTAGGTGAAACTGGTGAGTTTAGTGAAGGTGCTAAGAATTTTGGACTCTGCTTAATTTTGATTATTTATATGTCTTGTTGTGTATACTGACCAGTGAATTTTAAGGATCAGTTTAAGTCATGGTAAGTTTTTTAATGCATCACTTCTAATTGATGCGAGTGGTGTATTGCATTCAGTGTGGCCTCTCTCCGTCTTTGATTTAATAAGCTATGTGGGCCCTCAGTTAGCTTTAAAAGGGCTCTGTGGAGACTTAAACATTCTCAGTTCTTATTTCAAAGAACTGTAAACACAGTTTTCATCAAGCTGCTTCTCTGTCCGGAAGCCTGCAGTCACTGCTTATTACTAGCATTTCATTCCATTTATTCCGGCATCCCCAAACTGTGTGCATATATGAGGACCTGGGTGTGCCAAACGCCCTGGTCTGGGGTCTCTGACGGGACAGAGAAATGGAGAAGACAGTCCACGTCTGCAGAGTTTGTGCTTGGTGCCCGGGCAGCCGCACAGCCTGTGCTGCTACCATCTGCCCTCGTGTTGGCCTTTAGGAAATCATGGGGGTTTCTTCATTGCATTTTTTTTTAGTATTGCCTCTAACTTGATAGTGTACTTTTTGAAGGCAGGTGATCTATTTTACAGAGCGTCTGTATCTCCCCTCTTGGTCACTTCTAGAGACACTGGACACTACAAATGAACCATTCCTGTAGTTGCTTTCGATTATCTCGCTCGGATATTCAGGTATAATTTCGCATTCCAGTTTGTGTTGACAGACAGAAGTCCTTACTTAGTCTATTAGGAATTCATGGCCTGGTGGGGTCGAGGAATGTTGGGACAGGAAGGGTCTTTTTTAGATCTAATTCCTGATCTTCCAGGTCATCTGGTTCCTGATACTCAAGGCGCAGCCCCACGTCACGACACGGGCTTCCCCCACCCGCTCCGGCTTCCTAGAGGCACAGTCCAGGCTCCACTCAGTTGGGGAGTCAGAGTCGGCCCTTAACAAGATGCTCACATGACCCGCATGCACACTGAAGTTGGAGTCGCACTGCTCGAGGTCACCCTCCCGTTTTACTCTTGAGAAAGCTGGGGAGTCAGAGAGTTGCCCGAGTCACACGGCGTTCTGTTTCAGCGGCTCCCATCCTTGGCTACATCTTGGAATCACTTGGGAACCTTTAAAAAGTACTGATGCCTGGGACCTATCCCCACATATTCTGCCTCAGCTGGTCAGGGTCGCAGCCTGGGCATCAGAATTTGAGAGAGCTCCCTAGCCGAGGGTCGCACAGCCCCGCTGACAGCCGTGCATCCGGTGGGCGGGGGCGTGCGGGTTCCCGCCGCTGCAGCCCCGCCGCCCTCCGCTGTGCGCATCCAGAAACAGCGCTCTTCCTGCCCCGTGTCGCCAGCGTGCTCCACCCCAGTTTCTTTCCTGCACCGCGCGTCTCTCACTGGCATGTACCCTACAAGAAGGACCCTCTTCTGTCTTGTTTACTGCTGGGTCCCAGCCCCTAGGACAGCGTCTGGCACAAGTTAGGTATTCTTTTAATATTCGTAGGACAGAAGGAAGGAGTCAGGATAAAGAGGGATGCATCCCATGGGAGGCTGCTCAGACAGCCTCGGCAGGGCCGAATGGGGTCAGTGGAAGGCTCCGGAAGGCTGCGAAGTCCAAGTGGAAACCAGGAGTCACGCAGGGAGGTCAGGACTTGGACCTTGACCTGTCTGACCTTGGAGCTTGTTCTTTCCCCGTCCTCGCGCTGTCCCGCGGACGGAGAGGTCAGCCGTCTGTCACCGGCTTCGCAGCTGGGGCGGCTCAGCGGGGACGCAGGGCTCCAGCTCTGCAGACCCTCGGGTTGGGGATCCTCCCCCAACGCCGAATATGGTGAACAAGTCTCCAGGGGTTCAGTGAAAGGACCTACCTAGCTCAGAGCCTGGCCCTGGGTATGTAACACAAGGGAGCCATTTCTTCTGTGAGTTTCCTGTGTTTTAGGCACATTCGCTTTGAGAACCTGGTTATTTTCAGGACAGAAAGACTTTCGATTTCACTCTCAACTCATGTGCATTTCTGTCCTGGTGAAGTTAGCTATTAAGACTTTGTTTATTATGCCCGTGCTGTAGGCAGATCATGTTGCTCATGATATTTCTGTTACATCTGCTATTTTTGGTGTTTCATTTCTCTGAGTTGTTAACTTGGTATGTTTGGGCACTAATTTACCCATCACCAAACTTTGGAGTCAGGTGTAAAAGCCCTATTTTTGAAGTCTTTATTAGTGTGTCCCGCTGCACATTAGTGAGTTTTAAAACTTTCGATGACTAGACCTTTGTTAAGGTGTCTCGGTAAATGGTAAACTTACGCTGTCTTTTTTGGGGAATAGGAAGCCTGAAAATGCTAAGGCTTAAGACATTCTTTTAACATTACAAGATTTCAAGCTTTGATTCAGAAGCTGCATTAAGAGGAGATGTTGCATTGATATGGTTGGAGGCTGTCACCGGCACCTCTTGCACGTGTCACATGAAGTCAGTGCTGCTGACTTACGTGAACCGCTTTTTATGATGTGCCCTCATTCCGTGCTCATGGTCATGGGAAGAAAGTGCTGATGAATTTTCCAAAGGCTGTGTGGAGTCTGAGGTTTGCCCAGAGTTCTTGGGGAGAGTCCTCGGGCCCAGATGTGACCACAGGTGGTGAATCAGTAGTTACCACTATTTATTAAACAAATAGAAGGACAGTAAAAGTCCTGGAACAAGAATTTTCCAGAAGCAGAAAATAAATAATTAGGGAGCTGATGGTTATCCTGGGAGCCAGGAGTCACATGATGGAGAAGGACTTTTCTATGGCAAAGCACTTGATCATGGACGGAAGGGAAAGGAACATTAACAATTCATGGAAGTCAAGTTTAATCAGATTTCAACACTTTTTGGCACAAAAAATTCAGGCCATCTTCAGTTTGCTCTTAGAAAATGTTAACGTTGTTAAAGATTATCCTTATCGACTGTAGTAACAACAGCATTTTATATTCACGTGATTCTTCTGAATGCAAAGCGCTGTTGTACACACTCCCCCGTTTAATTCTCCCCGTGGCCCTGTGGGCTGGGAGAGTGAGGTATCATCTCTACCTTTTATGAGGTAAAACAGAGGTTCAGTTACTTTCCCAAGGATGACAAGTAAGTGGGAGAGCTGAGCTTTTTTGTATTTTAAATATAAAGCGTTGAGGTAGTTGAACTTGTAAACCCTTGATTTTCTAAGTATATAAGTGTGTGGTTTATAATACAGGATGAATAATCCCAAAATTTAATACTGCAACCGAACGAAAAGGATATTCTGATATTCTTCTGACTGAAAGTAATTGGCTGGCAAGACTCACAGAAGTTTTTTCCCCTTTCTTAAAAGTTATTGTGTAGATTTTGTATGAACACTTTAATTTTCTCTGCATGAAGCAGCCTGATGGCAGACACCTGGTCTTCCAACTTCTTCCTGACCTTCTCCACCTGCCATACTGTTAGTTGGCACTCAGTAGATTGTTTTGAATGAGTCGGGTGTTGGGCTTACTGTTGGGAAATGGTTAATAATGTCCGAATGCAGACTGACCTGCAGAATGAACATGGCATTGATTCTTCTCAGTAAAATTTACCGTGTGTACACCACGTGTGCTCCATATTTAAAAAAAATCACACAAGTAATACGTGTTCCCAGCGTATGTCTTTTTTTACACACACATATTTTAAATTTTGAAACACTCTTAAGCCTACAGAAAAATTACAGGTAGCGTGCAAAGAACTCGTTCCCCTCCGAACTATGTGAGAATAAGTTTCCGATATGCTCCATCACCCTCAGATACTCTTGTATTTCCCACCAACGAGAACGTTCTCCGTAAGCGCGACACAGTAATCCAGTCAGGACGTGGATGACGAGACAGCTCTTGCTCTAGTCCTCACGCCCGCCAGGCCTGTCACCAGCCCAGCGGCAGCCTTCGTAGACGGAGGTCCAGCCGGAACCCTGGGTGGGTCTCCCTCGGCTGTCTCCTCCGCCTCCTTCAGCACACGACAGTTGTCAGGCCTTTGATTCTCACGACCTCGACACTCCTGCAGAGCGCAGGCCGGTCCTGTCGTAGGGTGTCCTCGCGGGGGTGCGTCTGGTGGCTCCTCGCGGTTAGATGCAGGTCGCGCATCCTTGGCAGGGAGACCACAGAAGAGCCAGTGTGTGTCTTTTGCAAAGATTAGTTTTACATTTTATTTTCTGTTTCCTTAGAGCGTTTCCCAAAGTGTATTCTGCGGAACTAGCACCTACTGTGTTCTCAACACCGTGCCACCTCTAGAAGGTAGGACTCGACAAGCTTTTGACTTAAAGGAAGGGGTGGGCTTGGCAGCGAGAGCGTTGCTGTCCTTGCAGTGTGGTGACACTGGCCCGTGAGCAGGGCTGAGAGGACCCGGTTCTGCCTGTGACTTGCTGTGTGATCTTCGATGAGTTACTTAATCCTTTTGGAGGCAGCGAAATGATACTCCCCACATTAAGTCTCTGCGAGGATTGAAAACGGCAGAGGGTCTAACCACATGGCATCCAAAGCGCCCTGCAAATGTCAGATGCCAGTACGCGAGTTCTGTAATTCTGGTGTCACATTCCGGGCGACCTAGAGTAGAAGTCGTGTGGGAAAAGCCACAGGTCATGTTTGAGTCCCATTCGGGCCACTTCCTAGCTGTGGATCTTGGGCAAATTAATCCGAACCTCTGGTTCTTCCTCTAAAATGGGGGCGGATAATTATGCCTCGATGGGTTATTCTGAGGATTAAATGAGAGAACGCCATGTAAAATCCGTCCCGGGTGCCTGACAGAGTCCCACAGCTGCTTACTCCCTCACAAGTAGTAAAAAATGGATCTGCTTGATCCCATGTAGCTCAGACTGAAATTTAATCAGATGAAGCGGGAGAAGATGCCCCGACCCAAACCGAAGTGGTCCATTGCAAGGCTCCCGTGTCTCCATTCATCTGCCCCTTCTCGCCCCATGTATTTTTAGATTGAAAATGTGAATGCAGATAAATAGACGTTTATGGAGCCTGAGTTATGAGTTGACCTGGCCGGAGATTTGGTAGTATGATTGACAGGAAGAGGGTAAAACTAGGCCCCCTGAAAACAAAGGATAACATATGCCGATCACACATTCTCAGGAGAGGAAAGGGTTATTAAATAGCAAAACTGGTTACATTTTTCTATTAAAAAACGGTTCTTTTTTGTTTTTTATTAACCTTTAAAATTAGTTTGGATAATTACAACCGAGTTTAATTCAGTTTGCAGAGTCTTTTTGGGAAAGAATAAAGAGAAATCATGCTAATCAATGCTTGGCACATAGTTGGTGCTTAATTAATATTTATTTTGGATGAACAGTGATTTGAAGGTCTTACGTTAGTAATGGCAGTGTTCGCTGCTGTGAGCACTGTGCTGACTTGGACGTAACAATATGTGGTTATGTTTTCCTGAATCAGTTCCTATCCTACTAATTAGATCTAAGCACATAATAATTAGAGCTAAACAGAAAATTGTAGAGCTTCCTTTTAATTTTACCACTCCAAGTTGTTGATCAAATATATTCCCAATAAGATTTAGCAATTTGACGTGCTGTTATACCAACTTATTTTGAACAGTTTGGTCTAGAGGTTGAGAGATTAATCATAATCAACTTGATTGAATAACAGTGTGATTACCCACAGAACCGAAATTATTTAATTTTTATTAATTATGAATCAAAATAAAACGGATACATCATTTCTAGGTTAGAGTTAATAAAGTTACAATTCACCTTGCAGAAGTCAGCATTGTGTTCTAAGAAAAAGGTCAAATACATCTCTTTGGATTAAAAAAAAGAAAGGATTTGGTAATGTGAATCCCGATTTTTTGAAATCAGACCTGCAAACAAGAATTCTACTTTTTGCCAGATTAAACGAATGAGCATTTCTGTACATTTAAGAAAGTTTTAGTTAAATTATACTATGTCTCTAAAATTATTATTTGGAAAATTTTTGAAGGTTGACTGTAAAAGATGGTCCATTCACTAGAATAAGAGCTGTCAGCCAAGCAAGTCATCTGTCAGTCTCAAGAGCTTCACTGGTTATTTTTATTGTGAAGGAGCTTAGAAAATTATTCCGTAAAGTCATATATCATACATGCGTATTTTGCTAGATAATGATAATGAAATGTTCCACTGTATTTGGTTGACACTTCCAGTTTGCAATGTCACAGTTTAACTGTTTGCATTAAATACTGAGATGCGTTTGAAACCAGTGTATACCTACTGTTATTGTTAACTAAAGATACTATTACAATCCTTGTACAGAGACAAGGGTTTAACAACTGGCACATGTATTTATCTAATTACCATATCATTTATAGTTACTCCAAAAACATGAAAAACCAGCTTTTAATTAAAAAACAGTTTTATACAGTATAGCCATGTGAGCAGTTCTTTTCCAATGTAAAAGCAAAGTTACTTTTTATTACACTTTAACTGCAAAAAACTGAAATTTGAAAATGAGAGTTCTCAAAACATTTTGCCTGTTCGAGTTCCTAATATTCTTTTCCCAGTATTAAAATTGCCATCTTCATAATGCACAGTGGGAAAATTTACCCTTTGTATGTTTCTTAAAAACATCCAATTTATATTCAGCATGAACCTAAAATTCTGGAAATAGCACAGTTTAAAAACTGATTAAGGGGAACTCATTGGCCTGTCATACTCCCCTTCCTTTTGAACCCACGGCCGTACATCCCCATAAAGTGCTATATTTAGGAACTTGATTGAGACAGTGCTTACACGGCCATTTTCCTTTTCCCCCGAAAGCCTTCAGGCCAATTCACTGCTGCCTGATGCGGTATCAGAGCGGAAGACAGTTTTGTAGCAGTTACTTGTGCTGTTGAGAAGAGTCCTCCCCACCCCACCCCCATGCGTCCACATGCAGGACAAGCCACATGTATGTACATACGCATACGCTCTATATACCACAGGACAGCTGGTTCCTCGAGGACCGATAATCGACATCAGGCTGTGATCACACACAGAAATAGAAGCCGAGGTTTAATAATCTGTTATTATTGTTCAGATTTATATTTTAAATCGTTTTCTCAGAGATAGGACAGGTCACATACAGCTCAGGGTACGCCCATTGATGGAACACCTAGCGTAGTACAGTTTTTATAAAAGGCACCCTGCAAATGGTGGATATTTGAATTGAGAATAGATTTTAGAGTTTCACCTCTACATTCAGAACTGTACACATCATGGAAGGTTTTAAAAAATGAGAAGAAAACCGCTTTAAGAGAAGAGAGAAGGGAAGGCGGCGAGGGCTCCTGAGTTGTGGAGTTCTGTGCTTTAAAGTTTTATGGCCCGTGGCCCCTCCCTCGGAGGATGAAGTGTGGGGTGCGTAAGCACCTGAAGTTACAAGGGTTTTATAGGGTGTAATTAATAAGGACTTTCTTTGAACTTTCTCCCAGTTGAACACATTTTTGGTTTCATAGCAAGGTTTTTAAAAAGTTTAATTTTATTTACTATCAAATTAAAATTTTGGATTCTTAAAAGCAGCCAGTTTTGAAGTTTTTCAAGTTTTTATACTGCTCATAGAAATAGAGGATGGGCATTATAATTCAATTGGTTGTGTGGTTCATGGACCAAATAAGATTTAGTACGCTAACACTCTCCTAAGCTCCTCCTATAAAATATCTCCATATGATGTAGTAAATTTTTTTAGACTTTATTTCTATGCCCAGTATTTTCCTGTTAAGATCTTTTCCTTGAGAAGAAATGTGTAAATCAGATGAAAAATGTTTGGAGAGGATTTTATTGTGACTGTAGAAGATATTTATTCTTTTATGTTTTTTACATATTCAAAAAAATAGACTATGCTAAACATTAGAGTAAATGACTCGGAAAATAAGTCGTATTTCACCTTTACCTTTATTAACTAAGACCTGTATGCCTACATAAGGCTGTTTAATTGTGAGATATTTTAAATCATTGGATGACAGTAAATTCTATAGGGACTTGTGCCTGGAGGAGAGTTAGAGGTTATCGATTCTCCTTGATTTGGGAAAACCGAAAATATTAAGTAACTTACCCAAGGTCACACAATTAGAAAGTAGCAGAACTGGGCCAGAATCCTGGACTCTTAATTTGGAGTTCAGCGTTTTTATTATACCTTGCTAATATCAGAAGAAGTTGTCTCATCTGAGACTTTCTGGAGCAAATTGTCTCTAGTGTTTAATGAATTGCTCCTTAGAACCTGGTTATGCATTGTACCCCTTGGATGTTGGGGCTTCCATTTAGTGTTCAAGAAAATCGGAGTGGGTAATTTGAAACTTTGACCTAAATTATGCCCCCAAACTGGCAAGAACTTTTGAGCTAGGCAAAGGGATCCTGTTATAGCAATGAAACAGGAAATGATATGCAAATTAATAAATGAATGAAATCCTACATAAAGGAAATGATCTCTTCTAGAAAGTATCAGAGAGATCAATTATCAGATAGTGAGACATACCATCAAGTCTGAAAGTAATGGACTTTTACTAATTTGGGAGAGTTGTATTTTGATGAACTGTATTAACGGTATGATATGTATATGTAAATCAAGTTAATTAAAATGGTATGTTTTTGCATGTAGGCTAGAATGGCCAGCCTCTGTACTACCTAGATAGCTAACTGCAGATTCGAATTCCTTACGCTTATAAGATTTGTAATTTGCTTTCGAAAGGAGAGGTCTCATTTGTATTCTAGGGGATGAAGTAGTATTAGTTTATGAATACAAGAGTTGTATTTTATTATAATTCTTCTTCCCTAAAAAACTGAAAACTGTTTCAACTGGTCAGTAGAAGATTTCTGGGTTTTGTGAGGTTCAGTCATTTCGCAATTTTGATGTACTTCAGGGAATCCTGGTGAAAGAATCTTTAAAAGTAAGGCCTGGCCTCGGGCAGCTGCTGGGGTAGTCCCTGTCCGCTTGCTTGCCTGACTTTAGAGCCTCTGGACCAGATCCTGCTGCCATCTGTCCCTTAAGTGTGCAAACGGGTGTCGTAACTAAGAGGAGCGGGGCCCCTGGTCTCACGCTGACTAAACTGAGCTGCGTTTCTGACCTTGCCAGTATACTTTACAGGAGATTTTCTCTATTATTTTCTCTGAATTTATTGTTTTCTTCTTTATAGATGATCATGGGAACAGCAATAGTAGTCATGTAAAAATCTTTTTACCGAAAAAGCTGCTTGAATGTCTGCCGAAATGTTCAAGTTTACCCAAAGAGAGGCACCGTTGGAACACTAATGAGGTAGATAAATTTCTATTTTTAGGGGTGTAATTTCTTGAAGGGCAAAACTTCTTAGGTCATTTTGCATAGTACTATTTTATATTAGCTTTAAATTCAAAATATTGAACTAGGAAGTTGTAAATGAGAATATAAATCTGGATTTGACAGAAACCGATATGTTTTCCTGAACTATCTCTGATCTGCTTGGCTTGCGTTGAAACTATAAACTGTGCACGCTGACTGACTTACTAAGGTGGCATGAGTTCCTATATTTGTGTTTTCCTGCATTTTGGCGTCTTGCATTTGGTGATTAACTCTGCCTGCATCTCCATGGAACATCAGTGTGTATGTCATGAATGAGTAAAGACACAGCCCAGTGTCCACACGACGTGCAGCGTCTTGACGGTGTGACGTTTCCATAGAACTGGGGAGGGCGGGCATCTTACTAGCAAAACGGCTCTTAGGCCTCTGTGGTGAAGGGAGTTTGCGTGGAGAATGAAGTGGTTAACCATGACGATAGGAATTTTTACAAAGCATGAAGGCTGTGTGGTAGATTGTATATCTGGCATCGCATTAGAAAGAAGGTTGATGAAGTAGATGAAGCTGATGAAGTAGAATGAATAAAAAGTTTTATTTTTTGGACGATCTTTTTTGTAGATCTTAATTGGGGGAGTTTTAATAGGAGGGATGGATTGCTTTGTCTTATTCTGAAATCTGAATATTTGAATTTAGGGTAATACCCATTTAGTGTGGTCATGAGAATTGGCTGTGTGTCCATCACTTTGGGAATTTTATTCCTTTAATTCAAATGGCTGGAATTACTGGTTTTGCAGAGTTGGTCTAAATCAGTTGGTGTTGCTGGTTCAACATTTACTTCCAAGTTTAGTTAAATATAACACCCAGCCCTGTATCGGGCGCGCAGTTCGTTAAGAGAGATGAGAAGACAATCGTTGCAGCCTGTTTACCCTTATTTTTTTTAAAGATTATTTCGCTCTTCTTGATGCTTTGATTTGAGTTATAGAATGCTTTGATTTGAGTTATAAGAGGTTACATGGATGAAGGTCTCTATACTTATCCTAGCTGACAGATTTACATGCTCACTAGAACCTCAAAGCTTTGTTACCTTATCTCAACTGATTTAAATTTTTTTAAAGTATATATATTTGATTATTTGCATAAATTACATTTTCCCCTCAGAATGCTTTGCTTTGGCAAACGTTAGCTAGTTTAGAGGCCTATTGTTTTAATCAGTCATTTATTAACTATTTCAAACATTTTAGACAGGAAAACAAAGTAAATATGCTGAAAATTAGTCTTCATCGTAGATCGTTACTCTATCAGCAAAATAGTATGACTTGGGAGCCATTCAGGAGGTCACAGCTAGGTCTTGAATTATTTAAAACCTCAGTGTGTTTCTTAGCGTTCCCTGAAACATGGATTCGAGACCATAGTATTATATATTAGCTCCAGTTTATTTATAAATGTAACAAAACACATAACAGCGATGTATTTTATTCAGCGTTATAGTTTATATGAAATTGGCCATTTTTTAAATTATGACTTGAAATTATATTTGAAACCGGCAGTTGCTTAATGAATTAAAATCGGTGGTCTTAAGAATCTTATAAAGCTGGAGGTAACAGTGTCAGAAACTTATTTGGTGGATTATTTAGGCCATCGGTTTTCAAACCTCTTTGGTTTGTAGCTTCTGAGCGTAACCCTTCCACTTTCCTGTGTGTGTTTACCTCTAAATTTTTGACATGTTCCATTTTAATATTTTAGATACATTATCAAACACCCAGTGAGGCATATTTATAAAAGACAAGGTTGAAAGGAAAACAGAAGTAGTTCTGTGTTTCGTCCCGGGACCCCAGGACACAGAAGTTCCTGGAAACCACTGGCTTAGGTCACGTGATGCTGAAGTCCAAGTGCAAAGCGGGAAACCACGCCCTCTGTGCCCCGCGAGGTGTGAAGCCAGGCCCGAGGCGTGCAGACCCCTGTCGGAACACGGGAGGGGAATGTGCTCCTGAGGGCCAGCGGTGGCAGCGGAGGGTGGCAGCAGAGGGGACTCGGCTGGCAGCGGCGAGGCATACACGCGTTCCCGGTGATCCTTCTCTCGGTTACTTGTCAGCTCAACCCCGAGAAGCGAATTGGAGGGCCGGCCCACGTTTCTGCGTGGAGGACCTGGCCTTCTTTTCTTGTCTGTTTTTGGCTTTGGGAAAAATAGGAGAATCTTAGAGCGACAGCAGAAGGCGCAGATTAGGAGCTGTTGTTAACTCTGGTGGTGTGTGGCCATGGGGACTGTCACTTTTTTTTTTGACTGGCTTGGGAAGCAGGAGGAATGAAACCATCAGTGCCCCGATTCGGCACTCCTTTGATCTGCTGGGCGTTGTCATCTTCCCACGTCCTCAGCCTGCCATCCTTCGTGTTGGCACCAAAATCTGAAGGAAACGTACTTCGTGGACTCGCCTCACGGGCTTGGTGGCCCTTTGGAAGGCAGAGTGCCTTTAGTCAGGTGTCGCCATGCTGCCACCGTGAGGGGCCCGGGGTCCCTCTGGAGGGGGAGCAGAGCGCTGTGTTTGATGGGGGACCTCTTGAAGTGGTCGGCTGGTGTTCAGGAGCTGTTGCGTGGAACAGCGTTTCTTTAGGTCCCCCTCACGGGGACAAGGCACTGTCACTGGGAGAGGCGTTTGGGAACAAGAGCAGTCGAGAGCACGGCTGATTCGTGTTTTCCATCTAACTCTCTGCACAGCATATGTTCGCGATGTAGACTGGTGGCCGGAGATGCCTGTGTGAGATGTCAGCTGTCATCTGTGTCCATGTCCGTGTCCCACGTCTCTCCCCCTCTCTCCCTCTCTCCTGGGTGTGCACAGTTGAATTCCTGGGTATAATGTGACCCCTCTGTACTTTGGAGAAATTCCTTTACTCAGAACTGTGTTTTAATATTTGCGATTATTTGAGAAGACCCAACTTTTATGCTGTGTGTACTTGGTGAGAGAGGGAGAGTGAGTTCGTGCTCGTTCAGATGCTGCCATTTATGGAGCACTCGTTCTTTGCTGGTGACCGGGTGCCGTATATAATTATTTCTAAGCCTTATAACAGTCTTACAAGATGCGTCATATTTCCATTTACAGACGAGGGCGGGTTGGTAAAAAGTGGTTATGTAATCTGGTCGAGATAGGACACTTGATAGGGGCTGTCTCCCTGAGCTTAATTCTTCTGCGTTGCTTGTTAATTCTTAGGAACGTTCATTCTGTTGTGTGTTGACTAGGCTTTTAAAGACCCGTGACCATGTTACTGTGCTCAGCAGAACCAGCCTGTGGTTTGGTTTTGGATTAGTTTGTGGGTCCTTAAGCACACATTTGGTAAAGCTGAAAGGAAGACTGTTAGGTGGTAGAGAGGTCTCGAGGCCTAGTTAAGCTGCTCTTGATCTTTCTAACTCTCTGGGATAGGTAGAAGCTCCTGCCCTTCTTGAATGCTATTTGCAATTGCAAAATAAGCGTCTCTAAAAACAAATCAGTTTTAGAAGACGCTTTCTGCACCACACACACGCTTCTCGCAGGTTCTGAAGTCAATAAAGGACATGGTAACATAATCATGGCAGCTAACGTTTATCGAATAGCTACTGTATGCTAGATGTTACAGGGTCCTTCACATGAATAACCTCCTTTACTGCTTGAATTAATCCTGCGCGATAGGTTTTGTGACTGTCGTCATAGCATAGATGAAGAAATTTGGGTGGTGGGACTGGGTGCGGTCCCCCAGCCTGAGTTTGGAGCCTCAGCCCGCTACAGTTCTGTCCTCAGGAATATTTTCCAACACTTGCCCAAGGTCCTGCAGCTGTTGAGTGGCTTCTCTTTCTTTTCGTTTTATAGACTTGTTCGGCTTCTTTGTAGTTTGCATTTTCAAGTATTACACATAAACTTAATGTATTTTTGCATGAAGATTTAAAAAAACACCAAAACCTCATTTCTTAGGGCAGCACTTTTGGTTGTTAATAGTGAATATTAATATGTGGGCTCCAGGTAATGAAGAAGATATATTAAAAGTAAAAATTTTGTACCTCTGGGTAACTGGAGGTTAGGCTTGATTTTTATATCCAGGGCAGGGGAGAAAGAATGTATTAAACACAGAGCACATTTGTCAGAGAACCAACTCTTATTTATAATCAGCTTGGTATTCACATCTTCATTAGGTGAACGGTTATAAGGTTTATGCATGTTAAGTTAATATTTTTAAGGCCCAGAGCCAGAAATTATTATGCTAATGCAACCTTCTGATTGCACAAATGACTACTTCGTAATTACACATATTAGTACTCCATATACGTTGTGGGGACTGAAATTTCTTTTGTTTAGTCGTTAATTAGCTGTTTGACTTAAAGTAGCGCTCCAGCCTTCTGCGGTCGCCAAGTCTGAGTTTCCAGCGGCGTCCCCACCAAGGCAAAGCTGAGGGAGGACCACGGACCCGTCGTAACGAACGTCTGCCCCTTGAATGCATTCTGGTCATTTTTCTGTGCTATTGTTTTTGAACTATTGATGCTCGTTTGTTTTTTTCTCTAATATAAAGTTTCTCTGAGTAAGCAAACAAAATAGAAATCTGGTTCGTGCTGATCTTTAAGTCACGTCAAAGGTTTTTAGTTGGTGGCAGCTTTAGTTTTAATGGTCAGAGTGTCAGTGTACAGAGCAGTGTGGATGCAGACGGGTGTATTTGAAGCCAAACCCCAGAACCCGAAGGAACCCCCCCTCCCCGAAATATAAAGCTTTTTATAGGGAGAGAATCCCTCTTTTAAATCCTGAATACTTTTTTCCAACTTTTTATATTTAGGCAAGAAAAATAAACTTGAAGACCATGAGAATTATTAAATTATATTTCATCGAAGTTGTTTGGTTTTAACAAGAAGCCACCTTACCTTTTAAAATGTCTTTAATCATCTTTTTTTTGTGCGTATAGGCATATGTTCTTGAGTGTTTTTGTATTTTTGATTCTTCTCTTTGTATAACTTACAAAGTTCTACGTTT